TGGCCCCGCCGGTCCACAGGCCCACCGCGATAAAAGCGGCGCGACCGACAGTTCGCTGAGGGAGTAGATTGGGCCCCACCTCTGGTGGGGCCAGCCATTTTTGCAGTGGGATGCTATTACAATATACGGGACGATCGTCCAGTGTTATGTGCTTCATTTCTGGGGGCAGGCATTACAGATATACGCATTAGTCTCTTACGCGCTGGCCCCTCGTGTAAATAACCGTTACAGTTGAATACTACCGGGAGCCCCTGGGAGGCATTTAACACCAGCTGACTGGGGGGCCAAGGGTCGGCCAAAGGCGGTAGCAACCCATTCCTGGCTCGGCGGGGCAAAGTGACGCTGTAAACTGGAACTTACCGGACGTCCACGAACGGGACTCCGACCCGGGGGGGGCCTATAGGGGACAAATATACAGAACCCACTTATTGTGATGTTGTCCCCCCCCGCAGGCGTAACCGAAAATTGGTACTATCCAGCCTCCGGTAAATTAAATTATGATGCCCTAGTTGGCTATTTTATTGGCAATCCATTGTGTATAATTGTCTAAAGGTACCGCTTCTACAACAATAGGCATAAAAGCGTGATTTGCTCCACAGATTTCGCTACACTGGCCGTAGAAGACGCCTTCACGGCGAATGAACATTGAAACTTGATTAAGTCGGCCCGGCACCGCGTCTATTTTTGTGCCGCAAGAAGGAAGCGCCCACGAGTGCAGCACATCTGCTGCGGTTACAATCACTCGTATGTGTGTGTTTACAGGCACCACCACTCGCTGGTCGACTTCCAACAGTCGCAGTTGACCAAGTTCTAGGTCTTCTTCTGGCACCATGTAGCTATCAAAAGCGATGTTCTGTGAATCGGGTCCCGTATAATCACTATACTCAGTTATAGTCGACGTTGCAATAGCTCAGCGATTGGGGCTGAGCTAACCGTGGGCCGCAGGAACGAGCCGTATGCATTGAAAGTGTCGCTAATTCAGAACCATACATGGGGCTTTCGCCTCATACGGCTCCTTGTGCCCGGACCGAATCTGACGCTAATATTCGCCCGTAGGAAAGTTAATCTACTGGCGAATATTAGCCGAAGGTCGGCGGGATGCTTGTGAGGTTGGTGCCCCCAGAGGGGGTCTATCACGAACAGGCGCGGGGGTAGGGGGCGTCTTTGGCTGGCCCAAACCCGTCCAGTGGGACATGGCGCGACCGTGGGGCCCGTCTCCGCCGGGCGTAAGCAGTAGCCGTTGGCACATCCGAGGGCGGGTGCTTATATTGTTCGGGCGTCGGGGTCTGCTGCGCAGACCCCCCTGCACGGATCGCGGCCATGATGATACGGAAATATTGCGAAGCGTGGCTGGTTACGCAATAATCAGTAGCCGGATCTGCACCTTAAGAATAGTGACTACTGGGGGGCCCCGAATGTACTAGACGGGCGTACAGCGCCACGCATACGGTTACTGTATTTTTCCATTTAGCTTGTCGCTACGACAAACGAACCAGTAAAGGAGCCTTTGTCGTAGCCCCCCGAAAGGGCCCCAATACCGTCTTACGTACCAACTAACTGCGAGCCGACCGCGAGCCCAAGGCTGCGCGGCGTCCCACCCGCGCCCCCGTAGGGGCTCGGGAACTCTAAGCACCCGAATAGACCACAAAACGCAGTGATATGGCCAGGGACCGACCTACGGACCCGGGCCCATAGATACGTAGGCATATCCTACCGATTATAGGAGGGCATTCGCTTATTCTCTGATCCTACTCAGAAACCCCGGTCGGCAAAATTGGGGGTTTAGGTTTTACGGTTCCGGGCTGCCGTTTTATTTGGGCCGGAAGGCTCTTGCTTTACGCCGGGGGTCTTCTACAGAATAAAGTAGAGTCACGTACTTAATCCAATCCCCGAGGGCCCCGATCCGGCCTCTTGCGTGGCCCCGTCCGCCCGACCTCCCCCCTTCGGGGCAGAGCGGTCGTTGCCGGGGGGTCACGGTTTGGGTATTGGCGACGCGTCATCGCAAGTCCCTGTTGTTCACTAAGGCAGTTCAACTCGATTGTTTAGCCATCTGCATTGACTGTCACGTTTTGGGGGCAATAATATAAGTAACGCAATAGGCCTGCCCTTTGCCAGAGGATCCGCCCCGGGCGGGGGTGTGTTGGGACGGTCGGCGCGGGCGAATCAGGCATCCGACGACCCTTTATGCTTTTAGCCTTTTTTCACGACATCACGAGCTAGGTAAACTAACGCCCTTCACTGTGGTTAGTTCCAACCCGCCCAGCTGCACACCAGCAGGTGTGTGGGCGGTGTATTCACCTTTATTGGGGGGGAAGGGCTTTCACCTTCAAGGCAGCCCAGTTCACCCGCAATGCAGGCGCACCGGTTCGTTTTAATTCACTTAATCCGCGAACAGGCCGCACTAACTCCAATACCATTGGTGCCCAATTGCTTTGATTGTAATGGCTGGGTCAACAATTTCGTCTAAACTATACAACAATGCGAACGAAGGAATTGCGATCAAAACAAGAATAATACTAGGAGCTATTGTCCATGCAATTTCAATTGTAGTTCCATGGATAATTTTTTCGGGGTTCGCAGGCGCCCCCCCATGCCCATCGACAAAATAGAACACTGTTCTGCTCAACATCCAAAGCACAAAGACGATAATCAGTATCAAAAAAAAACAAATATCATGATGTAAATCGACTATTCCTTCCATAACTGGAGTGGCGGGATCTTGGAAGCCGTACTGCCACGGCTCAGGCGCATCGGCGAATATTCCGTGATTATTTAACAAACTAGTTGATGAGCACAGCGTCGACCTAGGGATGTCAGGAATCCGTCCTAGAATCAAAATTACAAAGATCCCGAATATAGACAAAAATTGTGTAAATAAAGATAAAACCTGCTCATTGCTAGTGGCAATTTTAGCAGTTGAGTACTTAGGTACAAAAGCAGTGTTGATCATAATTTTTTTATTTTTATACTTTAAGACCAAGCCGCGGGAACCGCGGCGTCAGAGTTATCCACTGGTCCTCGTGTGACCCCCATTACAGTTTTTGCCTTCGGGCCTGGCCCCCGGTCGGTAAAATTGCCCAACCTAAGGCTCATTAATGTGGGCCTCTTCTCCCGGGCTCGTCCACATTTCTGCGACCCTACTAAACTAACCCGAGCTTGGGCCTAATCACACACGGAAAGGTGCCTGACCCCCCCGAAGGGCGCTAGTCGACCGGCGCCCCGTGCGCCCCCCCCCCCCTCTGCCCCTATCGGGGCAAGCGTTTCACCAGTGCTCGTGTGGTTAATCGTCGCTGCACCAAAATATAACGTCGCCTCGAAACGTGGGTATTACGGCTTTCCAAATGTTATCCCCCCACCCTTCTGGGGGCAGGCAAACACAGGCAACTCGTTTGGAAAGTTGTTGCGTCGGTTGGACACAATTTTTGCTTAGGCAGCGGATATTCCCACACCCCGATACACCGCTGTGGGGAGGGCACTGCAGTCTAGTGCGCGCAGCGCACATAAATAGGAGCGCGCAAGCCTGTGGACCGGCGGGGCGAGTACCGCGAGCCAGCGGGTGTTGCCTTGCCGTCAAGCCGCAGGCCACCTGTTACACACTTAGAGGGCCCAATATCACTGAGGGCCCCGAACGCAGTGAGGGGCCTACCCGCCTAAAAGAGGAGGAACGCAAGCGACGGAACCTAGCCGACCTGTTGCCAGTCCGGCGCTTCAAGTTTTTGTCGGATCCCTCGCCAAAAGCGAGCGGCACGCTCGTGTGATGGCGCCCCCAGAGGAGGCCTCGATAATCCCACTAGCGATCCCCGCGGTTGGGTCGAAAATTTATACTAAAAGGGCTTGCAAAATTAAAGTAACGGAATTCCTGACTCAGTTCGAGGGGTTCAGTAATCACACGTTTCTCCGAATCATCATACCTAACCTCGGAATAACCACTTAAAGGAAAATCTTTACGTAGAGGGTGTCCTGTAAATCCGTAATCTGTTAAAATTCGACGCAGATCTGGGTGGTTAGTAAAAAATACTCCCATAAGGTCCCAAACTTCCCGCTCAAACCACCCGGCGGCAGAATACACTTGGGTGACCGAGGGCACTGCGCGCATTTCTTCGGTACATATTTTAATTCGAATTCGCGAATTATAGTGGATGCTGCATAAATTATAAACTACTGAAAATCGTTGGGGTCGAGCGGGGTAATCAACACCACATATATCTATACACATTTTAAATTGAGTATTCATATGATCTCTACAGTAATATAAAAATTCAACTAAAAATTCAGGATATACATATAAGACATGTTCACCGTTCCGTCGAAAAACATGGAGCTGGATTCATTTAGGGGCCGTTTTTATTAAAGCTTGTAGAAATGTGGTCATAAGAAAATTACTATAAATTAAATTCTGTCGCCCTGCTTGCGGGCCAATTTCCCAGCATACTCGGGCGCAAGTGTATGGACAATTGCGCGCAGCGCCCTGGCCCGGCAAAGCCGGGCAGTCCCCGGGTCGGGGGCTTTTGCCAATGGCGCTGCGGGTCATTCTGCCCGGCCCACAGGCCTGTGGGCCGACGGGGTCGCAGAAATCTGGGAATTGCCTATTGCTCCGGCGTAGCAACACACACGCAAGTTCGCATACCCGAAGGGCGTAAATACTGCCCAATTTTCCCGACCGGGGGCACCAAGAGTCCACGAGGTCCCCCACCGGGGGCGTCGGCGGTAAGCACCCTCGGGAGGGCGCATATTTTCCCATAAGTCCGGGTTACTGTACCGGGTCTGTTTAACACCTGCGGTGTGCAGCTTGGCTTCTACGCCTGCGCTTCTGTTTACCCGAACCAGTAGTCCTCTAATGGCGTTAAAATAGGCACTGCCGCGGCGAAGGGCGCTAGGTTTATGGCGGGTTGCCAGATTTTTTTGCGTTCGGCAAAAAGTCGGTGTACTGGTCAAATAGTTTGGGTACCGGGGGGCCTAAAGCACCAAACACGGCGAGTATGCCGTCGAATACCGTCTTTTGGGGATGGTCAGACTCGAACTGACGAAGACTATAGTCGAGGGAATTACAGTCCCTTGCAATTGCCACTATGCGACATCCCCGGAATGTTACGAGGCTGCCCACTTTGTGGGCAGTGGGTCAACCGTCAACGCTGCAAGCAGATATTTGTCGTGTGCGTCCCTCGCCCCCCATTTCTACGACACTGTTCGCGTCGCGAACAGGGGACCTTATCACGGTGAAACGCCCGAACTATACCGCGGTGCTCGCAAAAATAGCGCCTCCACCGCCTGCCTGTCCCTATCGGCGCTCTTGTACCCCTTACCCTACGGGGGGGGCCAACAGCGCATTCCACCGATTCAAGGCGACCCTGCCGGGTTCCCGGCGTCGCCGGGCCGCGCTTGTGATTCCCCCCTCCCCCCCAAGTGCAATTTCTGCGACCCTGTCCGACCGCCCACAGGCCTTTCGCGACCGCTTCTTAGGCCCCGGTCGGGGGCTTTTGCAATAAAGATGTTGCAAGCACCACGGCGGTTGGTCTGTTCTGCGCGAGGGGGGAGGCATGCAGCAATCGACCTAGTCGTGGGAAAGATGCCTACGCAGCAGCCGGTGTGTCTGTGAGAGAGCAAACGCGTAAACTGGACGCTACGCCGGTCGATTTAAAATTCTGGCCCGCTGCGCAGGCACGGTGGCCTATCTCATGTACATGCTCGCCACAGGGGCCGCGAGTGCTTTATACTTGCCGGGGGGCCGGTTGTATTCCAGTAGCCAACGCGCCGTCAAGTACAAGCTGCGCGGGAGACTACAAGGCTAAAACCGAAAGTTACTACACGCGGTTACAAAAATTAATGCTCCAGACGCCCCCCCCCAGTTGTCGCGAAGCGGGAAACAAGGCGGTACCCAGAATCGAACTGGGGCTAGAGGATTTGCAATCCCCTGCTTTTCCACTTAGCTATACCACCCCTAACCCCCCCCCTTCGGGGGGCTCTAATGACCGTTGGATCGGTCTTGTTGCTCAGCCCTCGTTAGAAGCCTTCGGTGCTCGCAAAAATTGCGCCCCCACTCTACCTCTGGTGCCCCGGTTGCGCATTTCTGCGACCCTGCCGGGGCAATTTCGCGCAGCGCCATTGGCAGCGAAGCTGCAATTGCCCCCGAAGGCCAGAGGATCCGGCTGTCCCGCAGCCGGGGCCACGGTCGGGGGACATCCACCCCCCCAGGGAGCTCCCCCTCTGGGGGGAGCTTGTTCCTGAGCAGCTCACCGGGGGGCCAAAAAGCAGTCCGCCCAGTTAAACTTGATCCCCCTTGTATTGGGGTCGGACAATACACGCTGGCAAGAGCGTAGAGGCGTTGCGTCGCTAGGCCAAGGGCGCAGTCGTTTAAGCGACTGCTCGCTTCGGGTCCAATCTATTTATACCCGTCTATGTCGTCAACCAATACCGCTGATACACGGGCGCACCCTAGGGGGCATGGCCGACCGTTCGCAACACGTGGCCGTTTTTGGAATCTACACTAGCCGCCGGCAATAAACGCTCGTGGATCGCCCCCGTACAGCAAGGGGTGTGAAAGTGAATGTGCCAATCATAGATACCCCGAAGGGCAACAATCTTAGGTCATCTACAGGGATAAGTGGCTAGGCCGCAGCTTCGCTGGAAGGCATGGTTTGCAACGGATGCTCATGTGGTTATTTGCTCGGGAGCTACGCTTATAGGCGCAAAAAAGCACACAGGCCTGCCCCCTTCTAGGGTCCAGTGGGTTGCGCTAATCTATCTGTGAAGGCCTGTAAAATTAAGTTACTCGGGAATACCCCTAAGTCCACTTTGTGGACCAGAACTGCCCCGGCAGCGACCCAGCTGCGCACTCATCACTGCAGCCGCGCTCGGCCCAAGGTCGATCGCTGCACAGCCGGATCCTCTGTGAATGGCGGCCGTTGCCCGGCCCCCCCCCCAGCATGTTATTCCCCCCCAACCCTGGCCGCGCCGGGGAGGCTGGGCTATCACCACCGAAACCTCAAAAAAGCACGATTGGTCTGCGCTATTTTATGCAGCTCATCACGTTTTTGACGTGCTTGTCCTTTTTTTTGAAAAGCGTAAAATAATTCATCTGCTAAACATTCAGAAAAACTTAATTTATTTTTTCGTTGATTTTGTCTGGCCGATTCAATAATCCAACGCATTGCCAACACCTCTTGTCTACTTTTCGGCACAACGCGCGGTACTAAAATAGTTCTTCCCGATTTTCTGACTTTCCGAACCTCTAAACAAGGTTTTACATTATTAACAGCTTGTACGACAACATTAGTCGCAGTAAGTGGTGATTTTATTGTATTTTTAACCATAAAGCCATAAAAGAAAATAACCTGAGTCGAGCGCCTCTCCGGGGCGCTGGCTCGTGATAAGGTATTTATTTGCGACCGAGTGTGGCCCACCTTTTTCATTTTTCACGAATGCCTGTGGACCGGGGGGCGCTTAAGATAATTCGGCGCCGCGACGTGGATGACTATTAATTTTTGTGTTAAGAATACTTAGGGTTTTATTAAATATTTTATAAGCCTTTGATTTTTGACCATTTATCATTAACAAACGAATAAATTTTTCATACAGAAGGGCGGTGTAAATACTGTTCGGGCCGGTCACTCTCTCTTTTACCGAAGGCAAAAAGTGTCGAGGGCGACGAATATTACTGTTACGAAATTTGGCTGAGTTAATGTTTAACATAGATACCATTATTTTTTGCCGAATGTGGAGCCACAAGGCCGAGCCCTCGCGGTCGTCGCAACCGGTTGCGCAAGCGCCCTCGGGGTGCCTATTTCTCAGCGTAGCTACATTTTTTAGGCTGCGGCTAGTATGCCGAGCACAGGCTAATAGCAAGTGCCGTTCATGGACGTCCGCGACCGGGGCCAAGTTACATAGGAATTGCCCCGGCATCGCGGTCGCCGAGCATAACGGACAGATCTTTTGTTGCATCCTTATTACCGAGCAAGCACAAAAAACATTCTCCCCGGCGGACGCAGTCTCTGCCGGGGTCGCAGGGGGCCAGGCACCCTTCAGAGTATTCCCGAGTGTAAAAGCAATCTAAGAAACAATTTTAGGCTCGTGGGCACGAGCCTACGTTATAGAACTGTTTTCTGCAAGTGCGAAACAAATTTGCCATAAAACGCCCTGCCCGGCGGCAGCCGTATATTTTTTGGTAATGTGGCACTGTGAAGACCACTCTAACGAGGCATCACGGCTCGCACAAGCCGCTTGCGCCCGGGCACCTACAAAATAGGCAAGCGCCATTGTAATTGTATTGGGCCTACCCTGAAAACCACTCTGGGCGTAGTGACTTTGACAACAGTGTGTACACAAGCTACGCCGAGCCTCACTTTAGTCGTGAATAGAGGCCGGCACTGCTTTTGTAATACGGCCTTACTGCCGCGGGGCAGTATATACGCCACTCGACCACCGTGGGTCGCAAGTTGTTGATTGGGGTTCCGCTCTGGCTGGGCTATAGGCACAACGGAAAAAAGCAGCCAAGCTGTGCGTGGGGCGCATGGCCCTTTTGCTCGCGTATGCCGGCGGATCATCCATATCACGGGCCGAATTAACCACGTTCAAATGAGCTTCAGGAGCCCCCAATGGTGACTCTGTACTGGCCTGCCCCCAGAAAACTGCCGGCTCGTAAGTAGTCGCGGGATTATTCGAAGGCTAATACTCGTTTTTTGCGCTGTGACTGGCGTAGCCAGACCTAAACGAGTTATGACCAGGGGCGCCGCAGCCCTCTTTTTTGCACATCTAGCCTGGGGCCATAGTATCCGTCTTATACGCCGGGCTCAAAAACTTCGGTATTAAATATGTTTGGTTTGGCCCCCCAGCCCACCATTTCTGCGACCCTAGGGCCTCACTTGCGTTCATCATTATTCACGAGAGGTTACTCGAAGTTTGACGCGCAAGCACCGTAGGCGCTCATTAAACGGGGGACCATCCTTTTGTTTTGACAACCGCCCCCCCTCTTCACATACCTGTGGACCGGTTGCGCCCATCGTTCGGCAAACCTGATTGTGCTTGAGTGCTCCGCAACAATTGGTATAAGCACATATCGACATGACGGTCCTGCACCGGGGGTTGGTCAGTTTTGATGAGAAGGCTACGCCTCTATTCGGGAGTTAGCACGAGCGTCGTACAAGGCAGAAGAGGGGTTCGAACCCTCCTTTATGAATTATGATTTCACTGTTCTACCAACTAAACTATTCTGCCTTCGAAGGAGAATCGACCTGTACTACGCACCCGGCCACGGTCGGTGGCGGTGGGGGGGAAATAACATTAGCGGAGCTTTCCCGCGGATTTGCGCCCTAGGGGGACGCGGCTAGGCCACTACCTCCCCGAAGAAAAGCCCCCGACCGGGGCTCGCCCCCCCCCCTAGCCTTTAGCCTAACGGTCGGGTAGAGCACACGTCCGACGCATCGCTGCTGGATCCAAGACTGTCCGTGAGCAGTCCCTCGCCGTGACGCAATACAAGAAGCGCCACTATACCTGTTGCGGCCCTTGGGCCGGGGCCGTAAAATAAAAAAGGATACCGTGCATGCCTGTGGACCGGTTGCTAGGCCAAAAGAGCCTCTTAACCTGCGTGGTACTGACGTAGCCGGGTCTTGTGTGTCGCTTATAACTCCTCTACGGCGGTAACGTGTGCAAAACGCCGAAGGCGAAAAATCCGGTACTTATAACAAGTAGCATACACGGGCACTACAGTAAGCTGGCCAGCCCCCCGCCCCGCACCCCCGCTTGCCCAGGTTCCCCAGAGGGGGGCCAGCCATGAGACGAGGGCTGACGGGGCCACGGTGCCCAGATTTCTGCGACCCTGGCCATTATAAAAACATAAACGCGCCTTTCTGGGGGCAGGCCAGTACACTAATTCCGGGGTAATTTTCCCACCTAACAACGCTTGTTGGCATTTTTTGGCGTATTAATGCAAAATACGCCGGTCGCGTAGAAGCGTAAACAGGTCGAACAACACGTCAGAGACCCCCCCAGGGGGGGGTCAAGACCCCCCGGTCCCTTGAGCCCCCCCGGCGGCTTCTGGGGGCAGGCATTCACAGAGGATCCGGTCGGCGGTTGGGTCTTTTTGGGGGCGTCTCGCTTACGCTTATTTGTCCGCTGCTGCGCGGGCAGCAGCGGAGGGGATTCCGTTGGAGTGGACGCTCTTACGGCCCCCGGGGGGCCGTGTTCGCATCCGGGGCGCGATCGCGCCACATTGTGATCCCCCCCGAACTATATGGGAACTCTAGGCTTGAGCACTCTAACGAGCCTGGTTTAAATGTAAAATGTAACGGCCCCCCCCCCGGTCTGCCACGATTTTCCTCAGCCCGAAGGGCTAAGAAAAAGTACGCGCTTTTAGCGCGGCGCTCGGCCGATCGCCACTGGCGAGAGAGCAGCGAACCGCCGGCTGTTCGTGCAAAGCTCTTGTGGGCACATTACAGGTGGGCCTGCGGCGGCTACACTTTATAATCCCCGAAGGGCACGGTTCTTCCGTCACTATAAGTATTTGACTTCTATCTGCGGGCGTTCAGTATTTTTTTGTGGGCAGCGAGCAAAAACCAAATTAGGCCCCGCCTGTTTGCAAGTGCCGGGACGGCGAGCGGGAGGTTAACCCCCAGGTATTCCAGGACGCGCCTTTTGAAAACTAATCAACGCAAATAAATGAGCACATTCCTGTACACCCAATGTGGACCTATAAGTCATTTCGAAGAAATTAAGCTCCGCGGTTTCTATGTGCTATTTGCAGCCACCACAACATTAGTCATCAGTTACTTGTTATGTTTTGAATTAACTACACTGATGGCAAACCCACTTACCTTTAGCCAAGCGAATAACCCCGCGACTCCCTCGGGGCCACAGGTAAATTTTATATTTACCGACTTGACGGAAGCTTTTGCAACTAATTTAAAAATCTGTTTGATTATAACCACATACGTATGTTTTCCACTGGCACTTTATCATTGTTGGTGTTTTTTAATGCCATGCTGTTACTATTATGAAAGGCAAAAAATCACTGGATTGTGTATTTTAGTGCTAAGTTTTATTGTTATGAGTTGCTTTTTTGTGTATTTCTTACTGCTACCTGAAATTTTGCTATTTTTTGTACGTTTTTCTATTCAATCCAATTTTATTAATGTGCAGTGTGAGCCGCGCATTTATTCGTATGTATCTCTGATTTCCCGTATTTTTTTAATTTCAGGTTTGTTTTTTCAAATTCCTATTATATTTTTACTGTTGTGTGAGTGGAGTATCCTTAGGGGAAGGAGTCTGTCTCAAAATCGTCGATATTTTATAGTTTTGTGTATATTAATTAGTTCGTGGATTTCACCTCCTGAGATTTCGAGTGAAGTTTTTATCAGTTGTTTGTTGATTGTTTTTTTTGAATGTTTATTTTTCCTTATATATTTTGTGGATTGTACCAAGCTTGTGATACGCCGGCTCGCTGATCCGCGAGCGGCCTGCAGGGGGCGGGGGGGGCAACGCAATCGACAATCTATGCCGCTTATCGGGTGCGTGAGCTTGGGGTGTTAAAGTATCAGGCCGGGGGGGCCCCTAGGACCCTCCACGCATTTGACAATGCTCTGGCTAGATATTTGCCCCCCCCAGGTATAGGGATCTTGGGGCCTCTAAGCGTGGAACAGGGACGCTCATGGCCGCGGGTGATTCCCGAGTGTTAATTTTTTTATTTAATTCGTCGGCACGTCTGCGCGTTGGTCGATGTGCGTTGGCCTCGTGCCGGCAATCTTTGCGTGTGACGAAAACCACGATAACTCGAAATTCGGATCAGTCTTTCTATATTACTTCGGACAGATCTTTTGAGTGGTGAGCCAAGAAAATAATTGTGGCTTAATAACCTTGTTAATTGATCTAATTGCAAATTGGTTAATTGATGAATTTTTACTTGATCATTTAGTCCTAAGTGATCACAAATTTTTTCTGCTAATGTGCTTCCAATCCCGTATATATCTTGTAACGCTATGATTACTTTTTGTCTATTTTTCAAATAAGTATGTAAAATATACACCATAAATTGCAAATTGGTTAGTGGATTACTTACGGGGCCACAGGTAATGACAGATTTTGCGCGTCGTTTTGGGTGGCGAGCCTCACAGCGTTCGGTGGTGCCCAAGGCGCCTTCTGACCAACCGATTCCCTGAGGGGCGCGTACAGTGCACTCGGTTGAGTCTCGTAGATATTACATTACTTTCTTTTTTGCCCTGGGGCCGACCGCATCCCCGGCGTTGCTGGGGATTCCTCTAATCGTGGCACACCAACGCCGCGGGTGCCCTACATACCCCCCGGTCGCGAAAGGCCTGTGGGCGGTCGGACAGGGTCGCAGAAATTGCACTTGGGGGGGAGAGGGGAATCACAAGCGCGCAAGGTGAGGCTCAAGCGCGGCCCTTTGGTGCGCGCAGCGCACGGGGGTGCCCGCCTGCGCCCGTGGCCCCGGCGGCGCACTCATCACTAATTGCCTGCCCCCAGAAACCCGACCGGGACCAAGTTATTCCCCCCCCACAGCGGTTGGCCCCGACCCCGGCTGCCGACCAAAGGTCAGCAGGCCGGACAAAATACTTTGTCAGGGGCTCAGAGAAACACATTGGCGCTGGGCGAAATTGCCCCGGTCGGGGGCAATTGGTGACGATCCTATCCTTATAGACCCGCAGGGTAGGAAGTGTTATTGACTTTGCCTTGGTTTTTTGTCCCCTCGGCGGAAGTTGCTCCGCCAGTATTTCCATAACGAGTGTTCACAGAGGATCCGGGGCCTGAGCTGGCTCACCGATAGCCCTAAGTTGATAGGGTTAGGACCGGATGCCGTGGATGCCCCCCCAGGTATAGGGATCTTGGGGCCCCTAAGCGTGGAACAGGGGGCTCAGAGGCCAGCACCGACCTTGATGCCTCTAACGAGTGGCTCACTGCACACCCGGACCACAGAAGCGCAACTAAAGTAACTCTTAGGGCCCGGCAGAGACGGGGGCAGGCCTTGCGACCCGCAGCGAGACTGTCGATTGTTCTGCCCATCGTCCCGCTGCGCTGGCCGCCCAAAAATGGCCTTGTACTGGTGTAGCGACGCCTAACTATAGCCGCGCACCCCTCGGGGGATTTTGGCCTTTAGCTTGTTTTTTTTTTGATCGCCAAACGAATCCTTTGTCTGCGGCGGAGGGGCCAGGCTAGTAATCTTTTCCCAACGGGCGGCTTATCGTGGGTTACATTCTGCAGGGCTCGAACCTGCGACCGCCGGCTTAGAAGACCGATGCTCTATCCACCTGAGCTAAGAATGCATACTTGTGGCTTACCACTTGTTGTGGCAATATTGCCTATCGATCCAGCCAATGACTACCGCACCTGTCGCGACGCCGATCAGCTATTGGCGCCGATTGTACGTCGCTGCGCCAAAATGTTCGTCCGATTGTATACCGGCAGGTGGGGGGGGGTCTCTACCGTGTTCGCATCGGGCCACAACTTGCCTCACTCATAATTACCCCCGAGGGCATCGATCTGTAGGGGGCCGGTTGTGAAGCCATTTGCCGCTTGGTAGGCGCGCCGGTGTACCATATCTTGCCCGTGTACTGTACGGTTACGCCAATGGAACGCGTACACAAGCGAGCTGCTATAGTCGTTAGAAGAGTAGCGAATGCACAGTTCTACGAGCCCTGTACAAATCTCCACGAACGTAGATGACACAGACAGGGCACCTCGGGATCACGACCGGCAGAGCCTCGAGTTGCCAGTACATTCCAGCACTATTTATTTGCTACTCGCCCTTCACAGGAGACCCTGGGGCCTATACTGTCTGACCGACGTTACCCACATACTGGCGTCGTATACCGCCGGGGGATATCTACGTAGTGGCCAAAATTTAGTATTTATGTAGGCCTATGGAATTCTGGCCCTTGCCAGAGGGGAAAGCGGTCGACGCCGGGGACAATAACAATATGTGTATGCGTCGAAGCCCGGTGTGCATCTTATAACGACGTTGCCGCTCAGCTCATCGGGGCGGACATAAACAGGTAATGTGGTTTCCGGCCGTGGCGGGGGGGGGGGAATAACAATTTGCGCTTCGCGCAAATTCCGCGCAGCGCCAATGGCGATTGCCCGTCCCGAAGGCCATAGGATTCGGTTGTACCAGAAATGCGGGGACTGGATTCTTATAATTTTTTGCCTTGCCGAAGAATTTTTTAGGGCCGGGGCGGCGGTGTGTCACGTCCGGCACCGCGCTAGGC